ATGCGACACCTAATACGTAGCCGCCTCATCACGAACCTCGTTCCAATCGCCCCTTTGGCTCCGCCCAAGTGTCTGTGAAGCGACCTAAGAGGATTTTAAATTTTTTTGGAAAGTTATTTTTATGACTGGGGTCTTGTACTCTGCAACTAGGACCATGATACATCTTCGTGGGAAAGGAGTGCAACAGGTTTCCTAGCCTCCGATTCCTCTGACTGGTTACACAGAAGATCGTCGTTTGTGGAGCAGATATAATATGTATGTAGTTTACTAGTAATAGTTTACTATTAAAACTGCACTGCTGGACCACAATAACTCTGGTCAAGTGAAACGTTTTGGAATCCAATGAAATCCATACAAAGCAGGCTTCTTTCCAAGGCTCGTCTTTTCGCGAATTAGAACTAAAACATTTCTGTGTTTCATGACAAGGAATGCTCGTACACATAAATTCCTTTCTACCACATGATAGCTTTTTGGCCCAGATTAGTTCCCTTCAGTATTCCTTGCATAAAAAAGACAAGAATCATGAATGGTCTCCGTAGGGGTGTCCCCAAGAGGCCCATCGCGCGGCGAAGGAAGAGACGCAGACGCGGCAAAGGACGAGTCGCAGCGCATACTGTAGCGGTTAGGCGTCAGGTTAAATAGAGTGTACCATACTACGTCTCATATCGCACAGCACGCGCTGCGACTCGTCCTTTGCCGCATCTGCGTCTCTTCCTTCGCCGCGCGACGGGCCTCTTGGGGGACACCCGTCTCCGTAGACCACACTAAAGAGGAGACTTCAATTCATTAGGGGCAATTCTGCATATCCACACTTTGTGCCTTTGAGTTTCTAGTACCAAAATGATTATCAAATCCTATCGAATCCTGGTCTTGACCTATGTTCCTTTTAATGGGTGCTATGTTGAAAGGCTTGCTGTGTACTGCTTGATCAGGAATTGAAACTGCAAGCTTTTGTGCATATCTAGGGGTAAGGTAAGGCGCAGGATCAAATTTATGTGGTAATTCCACTCGAAAATGAAGGGAGGGATGCGTAGTTGATCGAATGTGAAGGAAAGTATCAAAAAACTCGTAAAAAAATTCGGAGACTTTGAACCTCTTTGCTCTACCCTGCGGAGAGTTCTGATAAACAGGCAGCAAAATAAGAGATAACGTGAGTCGCGGAGAGGGTAATAAAAGTCCTAGCAGAGAAAACACAGCAGATCAGTTGCGGCGCAGGTAAATATATCGATGGGCGCCCTGATAATTTTGGTGAATTCGATCAAATTCTTAGCGCCTGGCATTTAACACGTTGACGACATTGTGCAGCGCATGCGCATCACACCTTGAGCACCGTGTGGGACCGTGTGCAGCGCATGCGCTGCACACACAAATTATTAATTTTTTTCGCGCATGCGCTACTTCTTTTCTAATTTTTTGCATCTATTCTATAGACCACACCATAATATGACTAGACACGGCGAGGTTCATCGAATGGTTGAATATGCTTTTCCAAGCCCTACGAATTTCCCAATTGTGTTCATTCCTAGTTTTCCTTTATATTCTGACAATCTTGGTCATAA